CCCCCGTCCCTCTTTCACACACTCCTCTCTCTACTTCTGTCTCTCTCTAGTCGTATAAAGTCGCGAATAACACGGGAGAACCAGTGACGCGTATAGTCGATAGAGCCGGGCAATAAGCGTTAATTGCGAACTCGATGTTCGCGCGTCGGCTGGTGCGAAAATCGCCAAAACGAAGCGCGCCGCAGAACAGCCGGCAAAATTCCGCCCGGGAATTCGTCGTCGACATAAACAAACAAACAAACAAACAAACAAGAGAGAGAGACAGAGAGAAAAAGAAGGGGGAGGAACCAGGGGAAGAGAGGGTAAACTCGCTGTTCGCGGAGGCAAGGAGGAGGAAACGTGTGTGTATATGTGTGGAGGGGTTGGGGGCTGATTTTTTGCCGGGCTACACGAATTGCGACGGCGTCTTCCAGCAGCTGGCGCAGCACGGCAGGGCGCTCTTCAGGGTGTCCTTGAAGGCGTCACGGAAGTCGCGGTTAAAGTACGCGTAGATGAGCGGGTTCAGAGCGCTGTTGAAGTAACCGATCCAGAAGAGCACCGAGACCACCGTGTCCGGACAGTAGCACGTCTCGCCGCACAGGGACGTTGTCAGGTACCTGGAAGAAAGGCGACATCGCGTGACTCGTTTTCGCACTCTGCCTCGTGTGAAGTGAAATGTCAATTTCATGTTCCAGAGAGTCCACTGCGGACTCGAGGTAAAGAGATGGCTTCGTTAACGGAAAATAAACTGACAATGTTAATTAATTGACGCGCGTTCTCCGTTTGCATTGTTAGTGCTTGTCGCTTTGACTTCAGGTTAAAGGTTAAAGTAACACTATTTGATATTTCATACATGTGCACAATTAGTCGTATAATTGAAGAATCCGCGTTGGTCACGTCATTCCAACGAAAGTGTCCCACCATTTTCGCAAATTATTTCAACTATTCTCGCTTCTTACTTTTTACGTTATTTCGGCGTCGCATTTAAAGTCAAAGTAGCAAAGGTGAATGTGTCAATTGAGGTTTCTAGTGGATTAGCTGACAAGAAGTGATCTTTGTTGACAATTTAGAATGGACTTGCTGGGGCATAAACAATAGACTGCATCATCTATTCTATTATTTGATATATAGAATTGGGCAACAGCTAGATCACAAATCCAATTCTGTATTTCAGTGAGTAATCGACAAAATCGAGTTGGTAACTAGGAAGTTTTGTTTAACCCTTTAAGGCGTATAATTCATGGAACATTCTAGTAACCTTTTTTTAAATGAAATATTGTCAAAAATACTCTAAATAGCACATTTGTAATGTTTCAACTGCCTGATCCTAAGTAATCCTTATTGGTATCAGTAATACTTAAGGGAACTGGAGGGTAAGATTGCTTGAAAATCGTGCATGTTTTTTCACAATTTTTTATGACAAACTGAATGAATATGCGAAAGTGTTATTATACAACGTATTATTACACAACTTGTCCATTATTATACAACATTATATATAACAAGTGTTATTATACAACGTTGGCGTGTATTTATACAACATATAAAGAGAAGAAAAAAATAATTTTGATGATCAAATACTCAATATAAATGTTTGGTACATACAGTTAAAATATATTTCGTTACTTATATTCTTCTTTTCAAGGTTGTCATTTTACAGTAATATTTTGACTTTCGGTAGCTGACTCTCTTAAGCTGAATTTTAGATAGAAAATTTCCGTAAGCTTCGTCGTTATTGTGTAAACCACTATAATAGAAATTGAGTAAAAGTTAATAAAAATGCAAATATTTTAATGGAATATTATTAAATTTTCAGTTCTTTTATAGTGGAATATTATTAAATTCAGTTCTTTTATAGTAAAGAAATTAATATTTTAAAATTAAATATTTTAAAATATTTTAAAATATTTTAAAATTATCAGTGGTTCACACGATAACGACAAGCTTACGGGAATTTTCTACCTAAACTTTCAGCTTATTGAACCACCGAGAGTCAAGATATTACTGCAAAATGACGACTTTGAAAAGAAAAACGAAATATATTTTAACTGCATGTACCATACACTTATATTGAGTATTTGATCATCAAAATTATATTTTTCTTCTCTTCATATGTTATATAAATACACGTCAAAATAACATTTTCGCATATTCATTCAGTTTGTCATAAAAAATTGTGAAAGAACAAGCACGATTTTCAGACAATGTGACCTTTCAGTCCCCTTAAACTCATGTCACACTACGAATTGGAAATGAAGGATTGCGAATTGAAGATTAGATTTCGACGAATCAATGCACTTTGATCTTGGCCTGCTTGGCTCCAATTGGACAAGTTCCAATCTTCAATCCGCAATCCTCTATCTCCAATCCGTAGTGTGACACGGGCTTTAAAGGGTTAATCTATACCAGCTGGCTTCTAGCTTTTGCCTCAGCCGGCTAGTTGCGTTTTCACTCGAACAAGAATAAAGTACATTTCAGTTTTGTTAAAATAATCCGCACCCCGGCGTATCGTTATCGTCGTGCGTGAATATATCGGTCCGTATATTCTTCCATGATTTTTCTTCCCAGCGGATCGCGCGAGCCACGCGTCGGCGAATCTTGACTATCGATGTTATGACGAAACGTTTCCTCGACACGTGTGAAGCGCTCATTCCCGATGATTTACGGTATTATTGCGTTTGCGGGTCAGGCAGGGAGAGCGGTGTAACTCGAGCGAATTCAAAGCCGACAATTGTGAACGCGCACGAAGCGAGCCTTTTATTCGGTCATAATGATGTCCAGCTGTTTCCGCGAATATTACTTGTGTTATTTAATTAGCATTTGTGTGTTATTTAATTTGCAGTGTTATTTAATTAGCATTTGTTAATTACGTAGCTTTATTTAAAATCAAGACAATATTTGCTTTCGCCCGAGCTATTTTCTCCCGTGGGAAGTTTAATGAAGCAGTAATTATTGAATGAAACTATTATAATTAAGTGCATTGAGGCATCGCGCTCTGTGAAGTGCACATCTCGCGGATGAAAAAAGAAAAAATAACGACTCTAGTTGACTGATTAGGTTTTATTTAACAGATGTTATTTTATTATAAACAGCGCGAAAACGTGAAACTTTCCGATTTTTGACACTGGAGCTATGTAATTAGTGGACCGCAATTTTGATTGATATATCTATGAATATTAATATTCATAGACATTATTTTTAGTACAGTATTAATAGTACAGTAATAGCCAGTTAAGGATGCATCGGCTATTAGTTAAGTATGCATAGCCCCTGCAAAAGGTCACTGAAAATTAAAATCACATTAACATTTATATTTTTCCTTGCAAAAACGTATGACGTATTTATACGATGAAATAACGTATTTTTTTACGTTGACATCACATTTTTATGATATATTAACTTTACGTTATATTGTTTCTGATTTTAAAACTTTTACTCCAAATCATAATGAAACTTTGCATATATCATTCTGAATACTTGAAGCACATATAAATACTTGAATTCCAAATATTTGATACTTGAAGTATTCATTGCTTGAAATACAAAAATTTTCGTTTCTTTTTTTTTTTTTGTTTTTTCGTTTTTTTGTCTTTTTCTTGACTAAGAATAAGGTCGTACATTTTCATAACAGCACAGCTTAAGATATTTAAAGCAACGAAATGACATCGAATGGCATTTCAACGACATATTGATGATATCTCTAACGTCAATACGTCACTTGACGTCACCATGTTTGCTAGACTTCCACTTCAAAGTGGAATAACTTCCGATTTTGAATCAATGCCAAATTGTTTGTGCTCACTTTTAGATGCAATGTAGATTAATCTGACGTTTTTCCAAAATTTTCTCATTATTTTTGAAATACCGGCAATACATCCTCAAGAAGCACGGTGTAAAAAAAGATATTTCTAAATTTCCTAATTCTCTCTCGATTTCTAAACTCTCCAAGTTTTTCAATTTTGATTTTGAAAAATTACCTCACATATTTCTTCCCCCCTGCGATCTCGTACGATGCGAATATAGATAGTAACGTCCGGATATATTTACGAGATTTGTTTTGCGCAAAGAGGAGCGCACGAGGAAACGAGTTTTCTTCCGCGGCAGCATCTCCTCCTCACGGTCGGGTCGATTATTTGCATATAGATGCGCCAGCATTATGCGGATGCACTGTGAAATTTTAAATCAATGTCTCGACGCATCTCGGCCCTTTTCTGCGATCGGTGCGAAAATGAGATCTGAATTCCCGGCGCGAGCTGTCCGCACGTGGCGTCGCTTTCCCCCCTCTCTCCTGGTAATTTCGAGATATGTCATTGAGCTTTGGGAAACAATCGACAAATTTACTCGACAACACACACGCGTGCACGCACACATGCAGCTGCAACGAACAGGACGAATTTGTAACAGACTAGACGGAATTTAATGGACAAAGTGGAATTTAATGGACTAAAAGGAAGTTTTATTGCGGACAAAACGAAAATTGTATTTATATAACGGAAACGAGGCGGAAATTTTATTTTAACGAGGCGACCGCGTTGCAGCTTTTCACAAAACTCCAGTGAAATTTTTAGTCGTTAATTGCTGCGGGAACCCCCAGAGCAATTAACAATTGAAAATTTTCGCGTCACGCTCCAGTCGGGATTAAGAAAAGCTACTGCTCTACGTTCCCACGCGACCATTCACAATCCTTTGGAGGAATTTGAATTGTGAAAATCACTAAGGTAAAACGGGAATAAAATTGTTAATGCCAATGCAGTGAATAATAACCATTTACCACTTTTATGTGACATCGAAAAGTTATAAAGCCAAAAGTTCAACAGCATATTGAAATTATTTTCTCTGTATTCTTGTCCCGCTAATCTTTCTCAGCGAAAATTCACCTTCATTTTTTTCTGTAAGTATCTAATCTCTCTGATAATCCATTTGTTTATATTGAAGCGTTGGACATCAAACGATTAAAATTTTCTTCGACTAAAATCATCCGCAAATCAATAATCGGAGCTTACTAATCGTTATACATGTAATCATGAATAATTTAGCCGATTGATGAAATTAATTGTTAATCAGTTGCACAATCAATTACATAAGAAATTGTGTAACAATTGTGATTAATTTTAAATACTGAATTAATAAATAATTAAAATTACTAATTTTAAATCTACCTCAATTTCTTTTTGTATGTTCGATGTAATCATGAATAATTTAATCGACTGATAAAATTAATTGTTCACACGATCAATTTTCTAAGAAATCATAACTAATTAATTTTAATTATTAATTTGCTGTTTATTTTAGTCAAAGAAAATTTTGTAATTTATTGATGCCTGATACTGGCTTACAAGTAAATCTATCCTAAAAGTACACTCTGATTTCTTTCTAATTTGGCACAAATGTAGAAATACAAAAAATATTTAGGTCATTTTTTTCATTTTGCCCACTTTAAATTTCACAAGCATTTTATAACTTTTTAATGTCGTCACTCCTATCATCAACAAATACAACAAAAATGAATAAGAAATAAAATTGAGTACAAAATATAAATAATGTTAACAAAATCGGTATAGTTGAAACATGAACCATTCAAAATTTCTTTAGCTAAGATTCCAAACGAAATATTTTA